ATCCTTGCTCAGGTCATTTCTCTTGCTCACTCTTTTCTTCCTTTGCCGTCTAACTCTGTGTCTCTCTCTCTCCTTTCTCTGTTAGGTGCTCTCTCCCTGTCTCCACCTTGGTGTCTCTCTTTACCTAGCTCTCCCTCCCTCCTTTCTCTGCCCAAGTCTCTCTCTTTTCTCATTTTAATAACTTTGTCTTTTCTCTCTCTCTACTTTCCTCTTTCTTAACCTAGCTCTCTCTCCTTTTTCTCCCCACCTCTCCTCTTCCTCTGCCTAACTCAATAGCTTGTGGTCCCTTTCTCTGCCCAACTCTCATTCTCTTTTTTCCACTAATCTCTCTTGCTCTTATTTCTCCACCTAACGCACTATTTCATTTCTCCTTTCGCCAACCAAATCTCTCTCCAATGTTTATTTTCTCTGCTTAGCTCTCCTGTTTCTCTCTCTCTCTCTCTCTCTCTCTCTCCTTTCTCTGAATAGCTCACTCTCTCCTTTCTCTGCCCAAACCTCTCGTTTGTCTACCTATCTCCCCCACTCTCTGTTTCTCAACCCATGTTTCTCTCTCTTTCTCTGCCTTGCACTCTCTCCCTCTCTCTCCTTATTTTACTCCCTCACTGCTTTCTCTGATTATCTCTCTCCCTCCCTCCCTCTCCACCCTGTCTGTCTGTCTGTCTGTCTCAGTCTGCTGGTGCTGGTTTAATGATGGTGTCTAGAGGGCACTGCTCTGATTAAAGATTGTGGTGGGGTATTAAATGACAGGTAGACCGGAGGCAGGTGCTGCACGCTGATCCCCGCCCACACACACACATACACAAGTAAGTGCATGCTGTTTGAAAGACACAAGTACACCCACACGCAGACAAACAGGGTTTTCTGTGTCTGGGGGTGAATGGTGAATGGCTTTGTCGGGAGGGGGCCGTCCTGGACATCTGCTGCGGCCTGGCCGCTGTGACGCTGGAGCTGCTGCCGGGTTTGTGTGGGCTTTGGCCAGCACCGCCTTTGATGCAGCGTCTGTGCTGTTAGTCGTTTTGTTCCCATGCAGCAGCCGGAGCCGAGATTGATTCAGCATTCAGGCCTCTTCAGAGAACTGCCACTTCTGTGGGCCTACACAAACTGTGTCTGCTGCATGTGTATGAGTCGGGGGGGGCTTCATTATAAAGAGAGTTTTGGATGAATGGGTCCTTCATAAGGCTAATTCTCTTTGTCTAAGGGCTTTCCTTGAGATAAAGCCTGTGGCCCGCGTGTACCAGTGTACACAAACTCAGATCAAAGTAAAAAGCTCTTCTCTTCAGAAACAGCTGGAAGCATCACAAGTCTGGCTATAATAAACAAAGCTGCTGTGGTCCACAGCATTAAAGGGCTCATATCATGGAAAACTGAATGTTTCTTACTGTATTTTATACTGTCCATGTACAGAAACAAGGCAACAAAAATGGCCTCTTTTGAACTCAGTTAGTCCCACCGATTCACACCAGCGTTATAAGGAGTGTTTTAGGCTGAACTGCTTTTTATATGATGCATCAAATCAGAATAGAGGTCATTCACATACACCAGTATTAAAGGCACAGTATCAAATACAGCCTATTTAATACTAAGGGATAAACAAAGTCTTAAAAAACAGTTTCTGGCACATAAATCCACATACATGTCAAAATAATAAACAAGAAAAAATGCAGGATATGGATTTTAAAGGGCCCATATCAGTAGCTGATCATAACCACGCAAAGGGAAATGAATGAATACATTTGACAGGCACATTGCAGGAACTTCCAGCCAAAACCACAGCTGTCCACAGTTAAGATCTTAACACAAACAAGTAAAATAACATGTACAATAAATAAAGATCCTCAGTGCATTGAAGGTAGTCAAACAGGCATGAATACTGATGTACAGTTTACAGAGTAAACATTACCCTCCCCATAGCCAGGCCCTAGAAGAGGTGAGAACAGGGAGAAAAAAAAAAGATGGATGGATGAGTGGAGAGACGAATAGGCCTGGAAGAGGGAGCCACTTTTCCATAAGGTGGATTCAGTGCACAGGCAGGGTATTTATGAGGGGCAGCACACAGGGCGTGCATGAATATACGGCTGTATAAATGCATAGCGTGTACGTGTGTGTTCGAATTATATATGCAGCGAGCAGTTTAGGATCACAGAGGCGGTTCTGTTGGGAGCTTTGATGGATGAAGACCTCCTGTATAGGATGCTGTGTTTCACTAGAGCTCTAAACATCTCACTCCTTCACTGCACAAGCTGCAATTTTAGCCTGAACACATTCCCCAAGACCAGAGGAAAGAGAAAGAGCGGCGTCACTATTGATTATATTAGTAATTAAGATTACCTGACAATTACTTGAGCGGTTAGTGCTTTTACAACAATAACAAACTGTGCATAGGCTTTTCATGATTCCTGATACTAGGGATGTCCCGGTCCAGATTTTTTGACCCAGATCCAATAAAAGTACCGATCCAGTCTTTGTGTTCTCATAGACAACAAAGCCACACAATTTAGGTAGAATATGGTAGTCCGCAAATTAATGCTTGATTTTTAAAAAGTGCATAATGTGACATTCGGCACTCATATGAACACTTTATACTGAGCTTTATACAACAGTTCCAATGATGCAATGATTGGTTCAGAAGCATCGTAACCACAGAGTTATTGGCTTTCTTAAAATAACTAACATTACTGGTTGCTAAGTAACAAACCGCTTCACTCTGTAGCTGTTACTAAGGCTATGTTCACACAGCAGGTATAAGTGGCCCAAATATGATTTTCTCACCAAATCTGATTTTTTGGTTTGGCTGTTCACATCTTTTAAATGTGATCTGTATGCAACATCAGTCTAAACAGATCAGCTCCTAAACTGACCCGCATGTGCAAAAGAACTGCTTCACGCTGCTACACGTGGCTCATCCGGAGGTAAACAATCATGACTTCCAGTGAACGCCAGTCGCTCCTGGAGGGTTCAGTTTCATCTTCACCAGCATCACAGGAGCCATCATGAAGCTTTACTGACTGACAGCTGGGCTCATCACCCAGAATCTGTTCGAGTTTGCCATAAAAAAGGGCGCGGTCACTTCTTTGGTTCGTGTCCTTGGATTCTTTAAAATTTTCTTCCAGACTTTTAACTGTTCGTTGATGCTGTAGCCGTGTTTTCCTGCGGCCGCATTCGCTCCAATATCTCTTTGAACACAGAGGGTTCTGGATGAGTCTCTTTTAAATGTTTCGTACAGAAACATCAGCCTAAATGTTTGAGGTCTCAGAAGGGAGAAATTATAACAAATGTGGAGTTGGATTGGCGTAAAAGTCTCATGAATTCAGATCTGGATGTTCAGACTGAGTCACACTGCTGCATATCAGATACGGATTTCAGTACCACATGTGAAAGTGCCTCAAAACAGAATTGAAAATGTCAGATTCAGTGTTTTTTTGCTGTTCACACTGACACACAGACACACGTGTCACGTGAAGAAAAAGATCGGATTAGGGACACTTTTATCTGCAGTGTGAACAAAGCCTACGTTTTGGCTTCAGCACATACAAAACACAAAAAAAATGACATTAGATAATTTAAGATAACAAATTAGACAACTCACTGGACAAATACTAAATACTTTTTGGGAAAAAATAAACAAAGAAGGCTTCATTCAAAAATGCAACACTCATGGGCCAAAAATGCATACAGATGTGTTTCTCACTGTAACAGAGCAGCAGGAGAATTTAAAATATGCACTATCATCATTAAAACTGCCAAGTGATCACTGCTGATTCATAGCGCATATAAAATTTTAACCTTGTCTTCTGGTTAATCGAGTACTTGTGGCAGCCCTACATACAAGCACATGCCTGCACACACAATGGACGGATGTGTGCTCTCTCACAGACTCACACGTACACACAGCTTCGCAGACAAATGGACGAGTCAGCTCTTTAAGCTAAGTGAATGCTTGATACGGGAGCATCCGAAGGGTAGCCAGCTGCATGCGCGCACACACACACACACACACCTCCAATAACTTTCTATTCAAGCCTTATGACCCAGTGTGTAATTTCAGAGCATTTCTAAGTGCTCACATGTGTTGGATTTGTCTCCAGGCTGTTTAAGAAATCAGCATCATTATCCCAGTTTTCCAGCACATACCACACAAATCACTGAAACCATGCAGAGCTAAGCTCCAAACGAAACCAGATCAATTGATGAAAATGCTCCATTGAGAACGGTGGAAACTGCATTACTACGTACGCTGCGGCCAGTGGAACAGACTAATTTTTAGCATATTTTTCATTCTATTTTCATGCATTTGTTCATTTGCCTCAGGGCCAAAAAAAAGTAAAGAAGAAAGGGCTGGGAGGGGAAAACACTTCTCAATTGGGCCAAGCACTAAGCACACATTCACGCTACAAAATAACCACAAGAAATTACAGAACATGTCAAATAGTAAATTACACACTGTACATGAACACATTAATTTCCCCTTCGTTGTTAATTATTAATTCCAAAAAATATTAAGCATGCCTTCGAGAGTCTAATTAAAAATGACAAGAAATGGAAATTCATTTCCAAGAATTAGGGCTTATTAAAGGGCTCCGATCCCACTGAATTAAACCACTATTTACTCTTTATTGTTGAGCTGGTCGTATATCATTATCTCGCTAATAAACCCCATGCGTCGCTCCAAACTTATTCACGGCTGCGAGAGCCAATCTGCACGACTGGAGTGAATTACGGACGGATTTTCTGCGTCAGACTCGGCACTCGCACCATCAGCTTGGCCTTAATAAGTCCATTTAACTCTCATTATTGGCCACGAATGTGCTGAATCAGCCCAAAACAAACCTGCTGTGAATCACCTCACTGCATTCCTCTGTCCTCTACAAACACACTCCGCGCCTCACCCCAACTTCTGTTTAAATTCACTCGCTCTGGTGAGGCAGCAGAGCTGTGTGATCTGGATTGCGGCTGTATGATGTGGATAAAGAGAGGAACAAGCTGCTCCAGGCTCCACTCACCTTTTCTTGGCTGAGCCGTCCTCCCAGTACTCACTCCCTCCATCATTGCCCTGTGAGCGAGAGCCGTCGTCTTTGTGTCCCCCTTTAGATCCGGAGCCATTCAGCTGGGACAGGGAGCCTGCACACAGAGAGAGAATGAGAAATACCGCCATTATCATCTGCTGACCTTACAAGCACTTCATCTACAGTACAGGAGCCTTATGGACAGCAGACAGGCTGAATTACAATGGAGTGACAGAGAGAGAGAGAGAGAGAGAGAGAGAGAGAGAGAGAGAGAGAGAGAGGAGAGAGAGAGAGAGAAGCAGTGAGAAGCAGAGAGAAAGGAAGACAGAGTGAGAGAGAGAGAGTAAGCAATAGAAATAAAAGAAAAAAGAGGAGAAGTAGAAAGAAAGGTAAAGGACAGAATTAAAGAAAAAGAGAAGGGAGAACCTGAAAAAACAGAGCTGGAAAAATAAAAGGAGAGAGACAAGAAGAGAAAGAGAATGAAAGAGATATTAGATAGTAAGATGGAGGAAGAAAGAGAAGAAAGGAAAAGGGGGGAGAGAGAGAGAGAGAGAGAGAGAGAGAGAGAGAGAGAGAGAGAGAGAGAGAGAGAGAGAGAGAGAGAGGAATAAGAAAGAGAGAGAAAGAAAGAGCAAAATAAAAGAAGAAAGAGAAAGAAGTAGAAAGAAAGATAAGAGTGAAAGGGAAAGAAAATGAGAAAAGAAAAAAGAAGAAAAAAGGAGAGGGGGTGAAAGAAGACAGGAAGATAGTAGAAGAAAAAGAAAAGAAAGGAAATTGGAAGCAAAAGGCGTGCAAAAGAGCAACAGAGAATGAAAAAGAAGATGGAGAAGGCAAAAGAAAGGGATGAATGGAAATAGGGAGAAGGAAAAGCATAAATATGAAGAAAGTGAGAGCAAGAGAGAAATTAAGAGAAAAATATAAAAGAAAGGGACACAGAGAGAAACAGAGAGAGAAAGAGAGAGAGAGGGAAGGAAAGAAGGAATAACTAACAGAACAAGGAAGAGAGAATAAGAAAAAGAGGGGGAATAAAAAGAAAAGAGGGGGGAGAAGAAAAAGAGAAAAAAAGAGAGGAAATTAAAAGAAAAAAGCAAGATAAAATAAAAAAGAAGATGGAGAAGGTAAAAGAAAGAAGGAAGAAAAGAAGAGGGAAAAAGATAGAAGAAAGGGGCAGAGAGAGAGAAGAAAGACAAGAGAAAGGAAGAGAGCGTGTGTGTGTGTGTGTGTGTGTGTGTGTGTGTGTGTATGTGTGTATGTGTGTGTGTGTTCAGAGTTCATGTCATCACATGAGGTCAAGTGTTCAATTGCGAGACATTCTGCTCAAATTATAAACAAAATGACAGACTTTGAAGGCGAAAGCAGCACTAGATCATCTTTAAAAAGAAAAAAGGATAGAGAGAGTGAGAGAGCGAGAGAGCGTGAGAGAGAGAGAGAGAGCGCATCATTGGAGGGTGTTTAGTGAAGCAGACTGTGCAGAGAAGTGTCTTAACACTGAGCTCCTGCAGCCGCTCAGCAGCGACAGACAAAAGCTCCCCAATGAACACGAGTAAACATTACAGTGACAGAGCGAAGATTAAAAGCCTCTCATCCAAAGAACAGCTCTGTCTTCCGCGCAGACAGCCGAGCACCAGTCCAAACATTCAGCAAACTAATTCAGGCCACACTGAAGGAGCATCAAAGTCAGCAAGACAAAGAATGTTCTGAAAGACATCCTGGAGTACAGAGGAGTCACCGAGAAGAGATAATAAATCAACCAGGCGAGACGTTATTGAGCGAGCGCTGAAACGGCACAAACGAAGCTGTAGTTTATGGGAATTAAAGAGACAAATACATGCCAAGTCATCAAACAGGCCTGAGCCTTTGTTCTCTCCTCAGGCTGTGAGGTTTAACATACCTGGCAGTGCCGTTCATATTAACAGATGGTAAATCACCATCTAAAGGGTACCAGTGGCCTCAGGCAGAGCTCCTGACGGATGACTCCAACCATTAACCATGCAAAACCCACAAGACCAGATTGCTACACACTCTTAAAAAAACAAAAACAAAAAGGTGCCAAAAAGCATTCTTTGGAACAACGCCATAAGAGAACTACTTTAGCTTCCACATTCTTTGGAACAACGCCACAGAAAAAACACTTCAAGTTCCCTAAAGAAGCTTTCAATGCATGGAGCCTTAAAGGAACGTTTGTATATGACAGGGGTCGACATCCCAAATGTTAAGAGCCATTCTGTCCTTGGGAGCCACAATATTTTATGTCCATTTTACTACCTTGGCTGTAAATATGTCTCAGTATGTGCTGATGTTCTAGTATAGGCTCCAAAATATAACAAACGAAGACACAGGCTTCCTTGGCTCTGCTTTAAGCTTTACCTCAGCTATAGCTGCTTTTCTCGCATCTCCTGCAGGAAACTTTTCCTCAAAAGTGGAACAGTCACTTGTAAAATGTCTCTCAACGTTTGATTTCTTACAAGGCTGAAGTCGCTTCACATTCGACAGCTTCTTGTTAGAATTCTCCCACTCCACCTTAAATGGTGCCAGTATGTAAGGGCTGCACCATTTAAGGTGGAATGGGAGAGTTTGAACGAGAAGCTGGCAAATGAGAAACTACTTCAAATTTGCAACGTTTTAGTGTTTGACAGTTTTTTGTTGCAGATTAAACATATCAGGAAACCAGCTGGAGTGATTATAAATGCAAATAAGTCAATCCGTCTCCAAATCATCAATGTTTGTCTTAAATCTTTCTCTTGGCCTTTTTGTTAGCTACTAGCTAGGCCAGATTATTGTCTGAGTTGCTATGGTGACCAGCAGTCTGCACACCAATCTTTAGGGTTAAAAAGAGTCTATTAGCAGTTATACAGTGACTTTAAGTGTGTATTCATAAAAATAAAGCTGTTTTTTTTAAACGATGCCACTTTCGGTTCCAATTCAGTAGACAATTCCTCAATAAACTAGTTTTGTAAATGAGACATGCAAGTGACAAGATTGTTCTTGTCACTTGCATGTCAGTTTAAAGAACCTCCCCAACATGTATACGTTCTATAACAATTAAAGAACTGTATGCTCAAGTGAAGAGCAATTTAATTAATTATCTTCATTTGAAAGAATGTAAAAATAAACGTGCTAAACAGAGTTTCTTGGAGTGATGCCAGACAACAGGGGTGCTTAATCTTGGTCCTAATCTAATATACCTGATCCAAGTAACTAAAACTTTCAAATTCATCTGAATATAAGAGCCATATTCTCCAGGGTGGTACACCTCCAGGATCAGGATTATGCACTGCTGACATTGAAGAACCACTTTTGGTACCCTAAAGAACGCTTCAATGGACATTTCCTCGAAGGCTCGAAGTATGAATAACCTTTAAAGTGTAAAGAAGTTCCACATAAGGGAAAGGTCCTATACAAAACCTAGAATCCTACATTCAAACCAAGAACTAAGAAACTAGCAAGTACAAATAAATTTAAATACAAAGGTGTTTGGTTGTAGCAGAGCTTTTGTCGCTGTCTCCACTTTGAATATCCCAGACTGCTTATAACAGAACAGTGGAAAACATTTCTAATTTATGTATGTCAAAAATATTTCAATATAAAATCTGACTGCATTTGATTCAAAGCACGTTCTGTCTTGCAATCCCTGAAAAAAGGAAGATTAATTCTGGGACAGTAAAGCTCTTTGAAAACATCAGGCAAGTGATAAAGAAGGGCAAGAAAAGGGGAAAAAAAAAAGTCAACAGTAGCTTCTGGTTGCTATCAGTGGCAGATTTCATGAAGAACCTGTTTGTACAGAAGAAAAAAGAAAAGAGAAAAAAAGGAAGCATGTCCAGACAACCAGCTGTTCGGGAAGAAACCGCAGTGTGTCATTGTGAGCCTTCACACGAATCCTGCCTCACTGTGGTTGGTTCAGCCTCCTGAGGCTGATACACACACTTTAAATGCTGTCATCGAACATCACTGTGAGCTCTCTTGTAAGAGCTTCTGGTAAAACTATCAACTTATCATCTGCAAGTTTAAACTCTTTCAGGACATGAGATCATACATATCTCCATATGTCCAAGTTCAAAAATGATTAAAAACTACAGAGAAAATGAGACTCCTAACAGCCACCTGGAAGACCTGGTAGACACCAAAACTGCCCCCATCAGATAAACAGCACTTAAACCTTTCATCTTTGAGAGAGAGGAGAAAATCAAGCTGCTTCAGATCTGAAAACATCCACAGGTGTTTCTCTCCATCCTTCCACCGTGAGAAGACGACTCAGCGCTGTGGGTCTGAAAGGATGTGTAGCTGTTCAAGAAGCTCTTACTGAGAAAAGGAGACGGACACATCAAACAAAGAAGCTGAACAATGGACTGACCACCCCAGAGCCCAGACCTCAACACCACTGAATGTGTTTGGTTTACTTCAGAAATGATCAACCAACTTCTAAGACTGAACTTTGGAGGTGTGGAAAAATATCAGCAGCTTTTCTGAAAGTGAGTCTCCTGAAAAGAATAGAAGCTGTAGTAAAGGTGAAGAACAGACACACTAAATACTGAAAAAAATGATATTATATTTAACTGTTGAGGTTTATGTGTAATTTCCTGTTAAATGTCTTCTTTTTTCCCCTGATGCTGAGAAATTAATAACTTGTACTTATTGGTTGTTTTGATAGGAAATTAATAAAATGAAGGGTGGTCTCTGACTTATGCACAGTATGTGTAATAATTCATTCCATATGTATTACTCATTTTCCTTCAGATACTTCTGTAAGAGGAATATTCATTCAGCATCTCTGCAGTTAAACCAATCATTTGACATCATTTGTTTCTTTCAAATCATCAGTCAGCCTTAAAAATAAGTCAAAGAGAACGAGAGAGAGAGAGAGAGAGGGAGAGAGAGACTCTCTCCAAAACATACATGAAAAGCTGTAAAACAATGAGGTTTTCTACAGACCACCATGCAGAGAGAGAAGCGCTCTCCAGGGACAAACATTTCAGTTAAGGACGCACCAAAGCAGAACCATTAAAATCAAAACAGCTACTAAAAAGAGAGCGAGTGAGCGAGCAAGAGAGGGAGAGAGAGCAAGATAGAAACAGCTTCCATGTCCTACATTCAAAATTAACCGCATAAGTGAAAAGA